TTTATCCCAAAAGATATCCAGAGGGCATGGCATGTTAGAGAATTGTTAGGTCATTTATTACTGAAGTGCAGCACCACCCTAGGTAAATTAAGGCAGATATAACCTTAAGTCTTCCTTTAGCACTGTCCCCCACTGTCCCCAGTCACCTTACAGAAGCTCTTGTTTTGAAATTCAGATCCAGAAGGAAAAGCACCACCTACTGGTCCACAAGCCTCATTTGCAGCTCCCACCTGATTTTCTTTGGAGTCTCCCATCACAGGACCTGGCCCACCCCTTCTTACTTTAAGAGATCTGGCTACGTGGCGGTTATACTGCTTTAAAGTCTTAATGAGACTCCACCAACTCAGCCCTTGTTCTCACTTTTGATATCTAAAACACTGTTAAAGTTGCATACTGTACTTTGCCCGGTTGGGATGAGTTGGGATGATGGTTTAGTTATAGCCTACCTTACAGCGTAAGCTTGAAGTCCCTTTAAAAAGTGGCTGTGGAAAAGTACTAATAAAGAAACATTACATTACATTACCTCAAATATATACAGTTAATTGGGATGTACGTACATGCAAATGAGGTAATGTAAAGTAAATTTAAAGAGTAATTTTCCTTCCATGGAAGTTACTTTTTTTTTCACTAGCATGAAAATGATGCATACTTAAGCTGGATAGACTGTATTAGCAATTGAGTGGTAGTGAAATAAATCATTGTGATAATGAATTTCTGAAACCTGCCAACAATTGATGTACTGTACATGAGGGGTGTTGCAATGACGTCACTTCAGATTTTGTGAAAGTGGGGTTACTTAAGCCTTCTCTTGTTACTGTGAGACAAAGCAGAGACATTGAAACTTATAAAGGAGAAACTGTAGATAGTTATAAACAATTATGTAATCTTAATCATTGTGATGACTCCAAATAAAATCTAAGTTTTATAATATTAAATCAGTTCCATGTACTGGTATTAATGGGTTACTCTGTAATTTTGCAATGAGTGAAGTACTGTACAGTATGTCTTAGCAGTAGGGGCAACTGGTTTTTTCACAAAATATTGTACTTCTGTATGTCTTGAAATATAGCTGAATTCTAACCTAGAAAAGCTCAAATAACTTATTTGAAGAGAGAAATATGGACTTCTGGATCTTTCATGAAATCCACACATTTCAGTCTAAACTGGAGAAGCTCATTTAAAGAGAGAAACCTGTCAGAATCTGCTACCCTGTGTTTTCATTGAAATGTATTCATTTAAACCAATTAAACAGGGGTATTTTACTTTGAGATAGAAATGTGATTCAAAGTAGCAGAAATTAAGGTATGACAAAGGAGGAGAAAAATGACTGACACATTTATGCAACTCCTACAGTACATCATTTTTCTTACTGGATGACTTTCATCTTTAGATATTGTTATAGAAAATGGATGCAGCAAGAATTTTAAGAGGTGTACTGCCATGAAGTCAAAACCGTAACCTACAGCACAGCTGTGAATAAATTAGTAATTAGCTTGTAAAGTCATCATGCAGTAAATTATCATATTACGACTCGGGTGTCTGTCTGCTGAATAGGATTGTCTATCTTCAAAATGCCATTGATTGGCTGTTCTACAAATTTGTGCATTGAAATGTTCAGAAAATCTTGTTACTAATGAAGGAAAGATGTAAGCTAATCATATTCAGAGTCAGTAGTGTAGTAAAAAATATGGTTATGCACCTTGAGAGCTTAGGTGTAAATTCTATAAGCTTAATTGTTTAGCAGATATCTTTAAATCTGTTCAGTTAATGTTCTGAGCCTTTTTCAGTGTACAAAATAGGTTGATGATTAAAGTTTCAAAATTACATTTAGAACTGGGAGCAGGAGCTTTTGTTTCCTTATTCAGATGATTGTGTGATTTGGGGACAAGCTACCCTATGATTATCAAAGCAGATACCCTACCTGAAATGGCTGGATGAGATCCTTGAATCAATTAGCTGCTGGCAAATGAGCTAAATGGGCCAAATGGCTTCCGTTCATTGATGATATGGGAAGTTTTCAACAGTTTGAAAAATTGCTTCAGATGAAACACATATAATACATTGGAGATATTATACTCTCCTCCCTGTTCCCGGATTAGTTTCTCTAAAACCTTCTCACTGTTAAACAACAATAATTATTTATTTTTAGTATTATAGGAGTTAACCCTTTTGAATGCAATTTTGAGAGACATTTATTTTTCTCTCTCTCCAATGTACAAAATGTTGAATAGTATATATGAAATCAAATATTGCCTTTATAAATTCCATTACCATTCGCAGACTCCATTTCTATTCAGCTGGCACAGATACTGCATCAGTTTGTCCTATCTTAGTTTCTTCCTATTAATAACATTTATATTATCATCACACACTGAGATTTTGCTCCCTGATGTCACATTGAATAGCATGTGAAAAATACTGCCAAGCCTAACCCACGTTTTAGGGTTTTGATGGATTTTTTGATTGACATCCTAGATCTAAAGGTGTATTAAAATTTGTAAATTAATTCTGGGATGCAGTGTCTTGTGATATGTTTCAGGCATGCTTGAGGTAGCCTTTCCTGCGGCATAGGTGTTAGAAAGGGTGGAAAAATGGTTTGATGGAAGTAAAATCTAATTATAGTTTCGACGGTGCACTGACATTGAAAAATGCTCAGTTGAACACTATTCTAGTGTTAAATGGAAACAGAATCCACCTACATTTTAAATTAGACTTATGATAATCTACCCAATTTTCCCTGTGCTAGTTAAAGGGACAGTCACCTGTTTTTCATCCTCATACTGTAAGTCAGTATTAATGGACACACAATATCTAATTGTCTGCAGTCTCATGATGACCTCTGGAGAGATTAACAAATAGGTAACTTCTTCCCTCAATATGAAAGTTAAAATATTTAAATGCTGTCAAATACTCTTAACCGCTGTCTTTCAGTGTATCATGCACAAATTACAGTTGATTGTTGATGGAAGACAAGGCCCACAATTTCAGAACCCATGTATAGTAAGCAGATGCTAGCATGAATGCCTAAAGGGTTTTTTAAAAATGTAAAGCCAATTTGTAAATATAACCAGTGGTTATTTAAGCTCTCTACAAAATGACCCCTGTTTTACAACATGCCTATCATCCTCTGAATTATCATTCTGACACAGCAGGCTCCAGCCTACAGTCAGCACCAAATTGTAAAACCAGAGTACTAGTAAAAGATAAACATATAACCAAACCATACTGTAGGTAAACAGAGGTTCAAAAGGTCTTTAAAAACATTACAAATGCTTATACAAAAATAACAGATTCAGTAAAATCTACTTCCTGCTTCAGGACCCAAAGAGCCAGAGCTATACCAAAATTGATGTCTTTATTGACAATTTCCAGTGAGAAAATGTTCTTGCGATATGAGAGAAAACAACTTTCGTAGTGAAAGTCGTAATTCATGCAATTTATTGTAAATTGAGTAAAATATTGTACATTTTTAAAGTATTTTTTAAATTTGCCGTGTTTGAGATGTTATGAAAAAAATAAGGAAATTGCAAAATGGCCAGTTTTATATTTATTGTGAGATGCATCAACCTTAATGTTGTTCTCCTAGGGTCAGACCTAGAGACATAAACTGGAGTGTTGTTTGATCTGAGAGAGAAGTTAAAAAACAACATACACTGTGGAAGTTTTTATTTTTTATTTTTCCACTGTATATTTCACTTAATATTTTTGCACTCAATTGCTGCTGTGTGCTTGGCTTCATTCGAATTGGTATTTGCAACCATGAAATATGAAGTACAGTAATACAATTACATGTTTGTTCAGCTTCATGTTACTGTATGTGTAAAAATGTTCTTCTCTTTTACTGGTGTATATGGCCTCATTAAAGTTTCCCCATATTTGAGTTGGAGACTTCTCGCATGTACTCCCTGGTAAAGCATTGGTGGTGGATTTGAGGATGGTAAAGAGGTATTGATGTAACTTATGATGGGAATTTTCCTGAATATTTTTAATAACTCCATAGGGTAGGATGATAATATTATAAAATGTATACTTGAAAATGTTACTGAATTGGCCTTCAATATCAATTAAATAAGTCCAGCAATTTATACTCTAGCCCATAATCAAATGGTAGTATTTTTGAGCCTACAGAATGGAAGAATCATAACTAAGAAAAAAAAGGTCAGATGGCCCTTTTTTGGATACCTGTTCACTCATGTCATATTCACCCATGGATTATTGCCAAACTGATTTGTAGGAATAAGTATCCAAGACACAGATACTGTATGCCCCTTCCAAAATAAAATATGATTTCATTCTGAACCCTCTTTTTTTCTGCTTTCTGTTTACATCCCCGGGCTCTACTCTCTGGATCACTATTATTTGATTTTGTCAATCTAGTGTTTTTGAAACTGCCAGAACTAAAAACTCGAATACTATGAAATGTATGGCTTAGAAGACATCAGTTGTTTTTTTTTTATTTCAGGGATATCTGTGGGTCTGTGGGTCTGGAAAATAAAAGGTTTTGGTCCACAACTCAGATATAGCACACACAGTATATTATCAGAAAACTGAGCACAATTTTTTATCCTTGGGAACAATAACGAAAGTAGAGGGCAAGGGCTAACTGGCCTATACACTCATGCCTGTTACACCCTTGTAGGGTTGTTACTCTTTTTTAAGACCCTGCGTGATAGTCCCTGTCGTGTCTTCTCTTCGTGATACTCTTCTGAAGATTGTTTTGAGGCTTTTCAGTAGCTTTCATTACAATTGTAAAGTAGAAATATTTTGAAAATAAAAAAGAAGAGGCACAGGTCCAGTCAGTTTTTCCTCTTCATCAAAAAATAAAAACTTGCTGTTTTGTACAGTATTGAGTCTTCGATATTTAAACCTACTATAAAACTAAATGAATGTAGAAAGTAGAAAAAGATTTTGAAATGTATTGTTTTTTTCTTTTTTCATCTCAATGCACAAAAAACCCTCCTTATGAAGGCAGTACAGTGAAGTTCTCTGTTGTTCCCCAGGTGGTGATACGCAGCAAAAGTGGCGAACTCCTCTTTCGAATTTCACCCTGGGCAAAGTATGTGGTGCAAGAAGAGAAGTCTGTGATATATGATTGGGTGCACTGGGAGCCACCACAGCCTTACAAGGTATGTCAGTTTTTTAAAACAATTAAATAGCAAAGAATGAGTAAAATAGGAACTCGTTTTTTTTTTTTGCTTTATTGGTTGCTTCGAACTGACATTGATGAATGTGTTTCTTTCTTTGCGTACTCTGTCCATAATCAAGCTCATTTTCAAGATTGTATAATCTATATCTATGCTTTTACAGTATATGTTGTATATACTCTATTTGGAAACTTGTGTACTGTATATATATATCATACTGTATGTAGGCTTTATGGATTTAAATTATGGACAGAATGTATTACTAATAGTAATAAAAATGTTTGTGTGTCTCTAATGTAGTAATGAAGACTGTGTCACAGACAAGTAAAATCATTAATATACTATATACAGTACAATATAAACTAGCCCAAAGAAGGTTCTGTATCTTAAAATTAAAACACCAAAAGCATATTAAATGCTTAAGTAAATACTCTGCATTCTGGTACATACTGTTTGCTTGATATTCTGTTCAAAACACTTTCATGAATCTGTAAGTCTGAATCTTTTCTCTTCTGCCTAAAAAAAGTTATGACTATAAATAAAACACAAATACTGATGAGTGACAATTCTAAAACAACACTGTGCCCTATTCTGAGAAGTTGTCATGGTTGACACGACTGATGAGCAGCTTCCAGACTGATCCCACATGTTACCGGTGGATATTACTGGTACCCACTCTGGCATGTGTGCATGGTGGATTTAAACTTGCCAGGGGAGAAATAGGAATTTGTGGAACAGCTTATCAAGAAATCCTGCTGCAGCCCCCCATTTGCAGAAGGTCAGAAGAAGAGAATGTCTCTCTATCATGTCTTGTAATGAAAACACTGACAAGCACTACAAGAAAAAGTGTCGATATTTCCTTGTGCTGTGTGTCCTCTTCTGTGGTACTGAAAAACAATCTGCAGGTCTTCAAGACTGAAACTTTGTTTGGCAGTTATATTTTTCAGAAAAAAATATTCTGTTATGTTTTAATTGTTAAAAAAGTTTTCCTAACAGTTAAGCTGAATATAGCTTATATAGAAAATGTTGAAGACCAAAACATTGCAAAAACAAAAAAAAAAGTACAGTAGTAAGACATCAATACTTGACTCCAAATGATTTTTTTATATTTATTGTGTGTCGGCTGCACTGTTATTTAATGTCCCCTTTTTGCACCGCTATAGTATTTTCAGTGTAATAGATCTCATTATTAGCATCAACCTAGATCACCTCATAGTAAAATGGTGCAATAGGATGTGTTAAAAGAGTAATAGTAGGACACTCACTAAGCACTTATTCAGTTGTTGACAAAAGACGTTTTCCATTTACTGGAAGCTAAGAATGGCTAAGGCAGGTGGTGCTACAAAAAACATAAAGTGGTTTAAAAAGCAAAAGAATTCAGCACTGATCAAAACGGGGCAGTTGCATTGCAAGAGAACAAATATCACACTTAGAAAATGTTTATCGGTTTATGTTTGCATTATGAGAGGTTAAGGACTTCTTTAACAGTGCATTTTCGGAGTATTAATGGCTAGTCGAGTGTCTCTATGAACAAACCGAGTGACTGCCTTTCAATTCTAACATTCAAAGAAAAGTGTTGATGGCAGTTTTGTCAATGTGTTTCCAAGCCAACATAGAGTCAACAGGTGTGACAAAAAATACAGTACAGAGTTCTGGCTTCTACTTGAAGTACCGGGTTTAATGGTTCATGCAGGGAGCCTTGTAATGCGTTAGAGTTGCTATTTGGAAGATTTATTTTATGATAGTTGAGATTTGTATGTCAGAGATACTGTATCAGTGCAGTCCAAGTAAACCTTCTGCTTGTGATACCTGCTGCCACTTTCTAAACTGAGTGTTTTTGAAGCTGTGATGTGGAACCCACCAATAAAAAAAAACATGTCCTCTGGTATGTCTTAAGGTTTATTCTAAAGAACCGTACTGGTCTGAATTTGTCAGTGCGTTGAGAATTTGGAATAAGTGAACCAGATGCCCCACAGTCTTCTTTGTACAGGTCCATTTCTTCTTGGCAGTCAGTGTAGGTTGTCCTTAAGGCTTTAAGGAATGTATTGTATCTGGTTGGTATTCTTTGGACAAAGCATGGAGACCATAATTGCATACAATATTCTTAATTAAATTTTAATAACAAAACAGAAAGATTAAAAATGGAAATCTCATGATGGGTGTGAGAGTTGGATTGTCCTATCTGGGTTGGTTACATTTACAGTTTCGTTCTGAACTGCTTAGCATTCATAAGGGAATACCATTCTCAAACCTTGCAGAGCTCACAAGTTTTATTTCTGGATACTCTGCTAACTTACGAATCAACAGTCTGTATCCGTGTTTAGTCTATTTCCCAGAGTGTCAGCAGCTAAAGCACGCATCACAAGCAGCCGCCCACACTCTCCCCTGCTGTGAGGTGCCTTTGACTACAAGATAGGGGAATACATCAAGTTCTTAATATAAATAAATAAAACTTGTAAGAAACATGCAGTGTTTCTTTTCTGTGAGTACATTTTATATTTGGGCACTGTATTTCAGAAAATATTTTCTTGCGTTCACTTTGAGTAAATATATGACTTATGAGCATCAGTTTGTGAATGTCTACTGAGTACACTGAGGTGTTAATTGGATTGTATATCAGTAGTATTTTTGTTTTTTTCTTTTCCTTCCTCAAATAGGTTGGCTTGGACTTTATCGCTAACCTTAATCTGCACAGTTATAATAAAACCATTGTTTAATATTGGGTACTGTTATTTTATATATTATTAAGAATGAAAGGGGCATTTACAAGGAACTGTCATGGAGATAAAACACCAAATATTTTTACTCACTACCAGTTCTGCATTATTGCATGAAACACTTGTATTCTACAGTTCACCATTAATTCTTTGGTTAGAGAGCATATTGGTTGAATCCAAACGTAATAGTTTGAAATTTATAACTAGGATCCATTCAACTTCCTAGTATCCCGAGGAATACAAATCTCTTAGAAAAATCAAAACCCAGTAAAGTATAATGCTTACTTGTGATGTTCTCATTGATCTGCTGTCCATGTTTTACACTGGGCTTAAACTTGTCAAAGATACCTGCTTGTATGTGATGGTATAGGCCTGGAAAGAACAAAAGTGTAGTTTTTACAGATCAGGACTATAACTATTAACTATTAACTATTATAGGCTGTTCAATAGCTCTTAACAAAATAATCTAAATTTTCCACGCTTTTGCCTCCTTTCAGACTGACAGTACCTTTTTAAGAGGAGATGATGTCTTAATACTGTACATTGATTACTAGGGCCCTTTAATTTTGGTCTTCATTCTGATTACTGTTTTTACATCTGGATTTTTTTATTTAAGAACAGCAGAGTCAGTCCAATCACAGGACCTGGTATCATTGACAACTGTGTACTTGTGGTGGCTTCAGTGATAGAGGAGCCACTCCTCCAGAAGGTGCTCACTTTCCTGTAAGACACTGGGTTGGAAAATTTTTATAACTATGGGTGCAGGGGTCACTGGTCACATGGAAAAGGTTATTTCCCCTGCCCTGGAGGGATGAGAGTGCTGCTAGTATGGTCTGTATGCACTGTGGTATGGAGTGTACAGTACCAGCATCTGAAATTCTGCAGGAGAGATGTGGCACCATTCTTACACAAGAAAGCTTAGTCAGCTCTGATCCGGACTGGTTGATGTAGGTAGAATATTCCGCTTGGGTGTCATTTCATGATATTCCATTTGTGCTCAATTGGATTGAGATCTGGTATCTAAGAAAGCCTTTGCATACAGGTGTGAATAACATCAGTGTCAATATGTGGTAAAGTTATAGGGGGAATCTACTATGGCCCTAGGATATGACACCGTCTATTCCCCCTTTCCACATTTGTGTGTTAGAAAAAGTTTAGTTAATGAGAATTCTCCTGAGTTAATTATGCATAGTTGTTGTCAATGGGAGTCCTGTCCTCAGGATATTTAAGTGTGTGACAGACTGGTGTGAGCCGTCTGTTGTAAGCCGTAGTGTTTGTGCTAAGGATAATGAACAGTAACTGGCAGTTTGGGGTTTTGGAAGATATTTGATCCGAGACAGAAGGTGCTTTCCCTGTTATGGTTATGGGAAAGGAAGGAAAACTATCCACCCAAAGTGTCACCCATGCTTTTCAAACCTTGGCCACATAGCCACATTCTTCCTGTTAAGTACATTAAGTACTATTCTCATATAGTTCTGCTGATAAAAAGTTGGCATTTCAAAGTTGTGTGGTTATAAAGTTGAACATAACTGATTATTCCAAAAAAGAAAAAGTTCCCAGAGCTACAATGTATGACTCTAATCCTAGAGAGATCGAGAGGTCTTTTTAAGCTAATGGGAGTGTATGACCAGAGTTCATTTAGTTACAAAACTAGTTCACTAATGTAATGTGTACTTTCGCTTACATGAAAACCAAAATACACTGTGGTCCCATGGAAAGAAGTCCCTCATTTAGAATATTTTAGGACATCCCCTATGTAATGCTTTATTAGAAAATGATTCAGATCTTTCACATATCCACAAATCTTTCACCATTTCTTTTTTCTTTCTATTGGCCATTACATTTCTGAACCTGAAGCTGCCTATGTTTAGGAAAAGGCATTATGCAACTGCTTCTCCATACCTTTAGTACAATGCAGCAGAAGTGATAATAATGATGTAAATGATGATGATTTCCACTTCCTGGCAGTCTATTTTAAGGGTAATTTGGATAATTCCAAATTACAGATCAGTGCTTCTCATTGTATTGTAAATATTTATGTACTCTCTGTTAGCAAAATGTTCAATCATAGCATACTTCAGATTCAAGTGTGCTGTAGTGTTTCCATGTGCTTATAATAGTATTATGTGGTTAAACCAGGACAAATGTTTAATTTTACTTTGATGTCTGCCTGCTTTCATACATGATGCAAATCTTGATCCTTTAAATGTTAATGAAATATGGTAATCCTCCTTCATAATAAGAGGTAAGGTTTTTTTTATCTATAGCATCACAGCCAAGAATCTTTTTTAAATCTGATTTGAAAAAAAAATCACCCTGCCTAGCAGCTTATTTTATGAGTGCACATTGTACAGACTCAAGATGTACAATGTGCACTCATAAAATAAAGCAAAAAATGGATCCATATATCTACCAGAATCATTTACAAAAAGTGCTATTTTCTATATAGTGTAAGAGGTACATTTTCAAATACAGTGAATTTGGACATAAGGGAAACACCACCCTCCATCCTCTCATGCCCATAAAAATAATGTTGCTGATACTTTTAGTTCCTACAGTACATTGTACTTCTGGTGTTTTTTGCATTTTAAAGTTCATTTTTGATTGTCACAAAAGCAGATTAGTGCTTTTTCAAGCTGCTATTGGATTTCAAAGCTCTGGTTACTATATCTCAAGTCTGCACTCTGGCAGAGCTTCGTCCACTGCTTTGATTTGCTTTGACCTTAGAAAATTATTTGAGATTTGCATTTCAAAATGGGGATGGAGGACAGAAACAAGATGGGATAGATAAAGGAATTGCAAATGAAGTAATCTGTAGCCATTCTAAAGAGCTAAAGAACAGCTGTGAGATCTTTAAATGGCAAAGGGTATCCCTTAAATAGGAAGAAAACATCTTATGTTGTACTGTATTTCTAATGTTCAACACTATTGCCTGTTCAAGCCGAATTTCATTGACCTTTCCTGTCCCTTTCCATTATAGAAGTTCCATTGAACCTCCAAGAATGTTTTTTTCAGTTGTATTTTACTTTTGCAGATGTGTACTGTACTGTAGGTTAACTTAATTGGTGGAAGTCCACACAGATGTCATTTCTGCTTGACTAATTAACTATATTCTGCCTATTATTATCAACATCAGTAACTTATCTTTAATTGACCACAGGATTATTTCATAATAGGGATGAGTTTTTCTTGTTGTGGTTTACTACCAATAAGTTAGCATTTTGTATTTTAATGCAAAGCGAGTTCTGTGTAAATTGTCCGTGGATCATAATCCTTGCAATGTTTTTGCAGTGTGGTGCAAAGAAAAATAACTTTTTATTCTATTTTAGAATTGGCACATAGTGTTTATACTCTGTTCAATAAAAATGCTTTTGTAGTTACAAAAAGAATATGTGAATATATTTAAGAGTGTTGTGAATACGAGCACAAGCTGGTTTAGAAGAAGATGCGCCTATGTACGGTATATACAGTACCGCACTGGGAATATTTTACAGAAACAAAGGAAAAAGAGAATAATACATCTTACAGAGATGAGTATTTTTTTTAGAAAAATGAAATGCTATTTAATACAATATTGTATTGGTATGGTGCAATATGATTAGAAATGACCTTTTTAATTACAGGCAATGATACAGTTTTAAGTATAAACATTTATTTCTGGGACAGAAACTCATTTGACAATTACACACAAATCACAGTTTTAGTTAATGAAGATTATTCTTATCAGTAGATGGCAGACCACAATCCATGTTTTATGCAGTGCTGTGTGTAAAACTTTGGGAAGAATTAGTGATACAGGTACTCATGAGAATAGTAGCAGTTGAAGATGAAAACCCAAACCAATGTCAAGTTTCCTGGCGAAAATGTAGATAGTAAATTACTACTATCTGCTTGATAGATGGCAGCACAGATCTCCTCAATGACCCAGCTGCAAGTGCAGAAGGTAACGTTAGTGCAAAATGGTCTCACAAGGCATGTAGTTGCTTGAAACCATTGCTGTGGAGAGGCAATAAAAAAAACTGAAATGGGCAGCAGCGGGATGATCAAACCTGAAAAATGATGGTCTTTTTCATACGCATCCAAGTTTGAGCAGTTTGACAGTAATCAGTGGCATTTTGTTTCAAAAGCAGACTGGAGAGTAGTGTAACAGTCAGGGTACACCAGCCACAGTGAAGCTTGGGGGTGAATCAATACAATTGTGGGGCTGCATCACAGCCAAGAGTATTAGGGATTTCCATAAAATCAAGGCAAGGATTTGATGCACCATGTCATTTCCCCAGCAGTACATCTCACGGAACGGATTCATTTTTCAACGTGACAATGACCCCACGTGTGCAGTCAGTGTATTGAACTGTTTGACAAGTAAGGAGACTGCTGGGACACTCTTAAAAATGGCTTTGCCTGCAGAGATACCTGATAAGAATATCAGACCATATGGGGTTACAAGAATGTTGCGAACCACCAAGCAATGGTTCATGCATTTGTGGGAAGTGTTACAGGATATTTGGAACTCCATTCCACAAAAATTGGTTGATAAATTGCAGAAAGTATGAAAACCAGTGCTTAGGTTTTATACAAAAGGCAGGGTCCCCATACCAGTTATCAATTTATTGTTCAATAATATGCAAATGTTCTGTAATATACTGTATTTTGTATTATTATTAGATAACATGCATTATATATGTTAAACATTTATTTTAAACAATTTGCATTCCACATCTCCTTTCTTTCCTTGATTCCATACAGTATTTTCTTCCAACACTATACGGTATGTACTCTGTATATTTGTGTAGGCATTAATAGTCTCACAACTGAGGCACTTTAAGAACTTAAAGCTATAGTTGCCTGTACCCTCCCAAACAAAAATAAGAGTTCTCTGTGGCTATCTGATCACGCACAATTAACATAACAACAAAAGAGGTGATTATGGTGGGAAAGCCTTTTCTTGCACGTTGGGCTTAGGGTTTATTAAGTTTTGAGTTTATTATCTGACAGACATCAGTTTATTTTATTTATTAAGTTATTTGTTATTTGGGATTTTGTTTATTCTAAACATATCATTAGAAGTTGCAAAACTGTGTCAACAACTGTCCACTGTAACGAAAATACTGTACATGAAGGAGCAAAAATGTGCTTGAGGTCATTTGACATTGAAATGAGACCGTCAAATTTGATTAAGCCAAGCTGCCCTGCATATGTAATTTCACTAAGGTTTTGAGACACGTGTGCCGGATGACAAACCAGGGATCCATTTCAATCCTGTCACATCCATGCAAATGTATTACAGTAAGTGTGATTATATTTGGTGTTTAGCTTTTTTTCCCCTCTGCATAAGCATGTGTATACCACTGGGAGTAGAATAATGCTGTAATTTTGTCATTTTGTGTTGTTTTTGTCTCTTGCATTTCACAGCACAGGTATCCTCGCCCCCCAAAGCCACGTAGCTTACGGATTTACGAGTCTCATGTGGGCATAGCTTCCCCTGAAGGAAAAATTGCATCTTACAGCAATTTCACTCACAATGTTCTTCCCAGAATAAAGGACCTTGGTAAGTAATAAACTCATAGAATGTATAGTGTCAACGTGATGTTTGATCCCAGCAGATACAGGTGTCTGCTCGAAATAAAAAACCCTTTGTCAATCCAGGACTTCAAAACTAAAACTTTGTTTGCCATGTTACTAGTGAACTATGACCTGTTTTTGCTTGGGCAGTTGAATTCTTTTGCTACATGTACTGTACCTGAATTCTGTCTTTAGTTGTACTGCTCTTTTACACCCACTTTACAAAGTTATCCTTGCATATTTCTAGTCTTTCCTCCTGAACCAATTGTTACTGTTCTTATAGTAGTGCTGTCTAAATGAAATGCTTTGTAATGCTATTTCTGCTTATTGTCAAATTCAGTGCCTGTCAAAAAGTTGGTGATGTACAACAATTCAAGTGTGAACTGCCCATTCACAAAGGAACCTTTCTTTATTAAAAGGTGCTGGATCTTAGCTCACTTGAAATAACCTAGTTGTTCACAGCACCGGTGGTTAATTTTTTTTTCTTCTGCATGTACAGTAAAACAAGTGGTATGTTCTTAAGCTACACGTGGATCATCTCTCAAAATTGTAAGTTGTGTGTGGTTAGGATGGTGGTGTCCCCACACATCAAAGAAGCAAAGAACTGTTGCCTTTGAATACTTTTGAAAACACTAAATATCCTTATGAAAGCTAAAACTTTGGAGCTTTAACAAGACTAAGATGGGCAGGATTGATGTTAGTACATTTCAAATGCATACGTCACTCTAGTAAATGTCACAAAGTTGAATCGAATCAATTAACAGCTTGCTATAAATCCTTCAGTTACAAATGCACATTTTTGCCACTAATTTAAACTTAACATGTTAGGAATATTTCCTGCTTCTTTTAAATTAATCTAATGGAATTGTCTGACATGCATAGGATGATTTCTAATTAGGGTGACTGCATGAGAATAATAAACCACACAAAAAGTTCTGTGATATATTCTTTATGCTTTATATCAGTAAATACTATATATATTTTAGTCAAAGATCATACATTGGTTTGTGCTTTTCATTTTATGATTTTGTACTTTGTCTTCCATTCCCAAAAAAATGAAGTTATCTTAGTCATTTGTTCATTAGTTATGGGGTTGAGAAAGTTTAATATGAAATATCGATTTTAAGGCTTCTCCATACTTGTAATACTTTAACATTGTAGGGAAAAGTATTTCAGTGTCCAGCAATACTTAATAATTCTTAAAATACTCTGATTGTAAGAAAGAGTCCTTTCTTTGAAATGTTTTTTGGCTCTTTCTGACATTGCAAAAAAAAGGCTTTGTCTTCTGTCCATAAAAACATTGGAAAGCGTGCAGTTCGGAGGAGGCCATTTAGCCCATTGAGTTCATTTCATGGCTTATACTGTAAGTAATTGGTCTGGTGATCTCCAGCCATGTTTTGAAAAAAAAAAAGGCCAGGGTATCAGCTTTGACAATGTGGCCGGGCAGCTTGGTACAGACAGCCCAGGCCTTAACAACCCTTGTTAATATATTAATTAAGGTAATAATCCATTTGTCTAGAAACAGGGAGAAAACATCTAGTTACCAAACTAGGTTGGTAACTAGAAAAAGTAATAGATGGAAGATCTGAAGCTGGAAAGGGCATTGTCTGCTCATCTCTCTGCACTTCTATTGCCACAGAGGTCTCATTGACCCCACCAGGCCTATGGCATTGATCCAACCATCCTCTTGATCAGCACTTCAGTTTCAAGAGCTAGGCCATCATAGGCTTGTTACGGATGCAAGAATGACTTTTTTGCAAGCTAATTTGATGACTCTTGTACATTGTATGAAATACTCATTGCCAGGGCCATTTTGCTGCTTCTTGAGAAGGCTGCAGGTGAGGACAGGTTGTTCTAATTGAGGAGAACTGCACCTTTTGTTCAAAGTTAAAGGTATCTACAAGGGTCCTGTGATCTGAGGTGCTATAGATTTAATTTTGAAGTAGAATACCCTGTAATACTGTACGGACTGTGAGATATTATGAATAGTACTTTTAGAAAAAAGTAGTTAAGGGGCTGCTCAGCAAGAGCAGTAGATGTCGGAGAGGTCCACAGTGACCCCATCACATTGTCAGGTGCATTTTTCAGTGTAGCACAACTTTGTTAACAGACACCTGAATCCTAAGACTCTCAGTTCTTAATGAAGTACATACAGTATGTACTGTATGAAAGAAGCTGAGCGGAAGCAAACAATCTCATATTATAATTATTATTTTGTAGAAAAACAACTCCAAGAGCATAATTACATGAAATGGCAAGCTATAATAATTGAGATTCAGTTTATCTGCTTTCAAAACCATACCTTATGTAATGTGCGTTTGGGAATTGAACTATCATATTGAGATACCATACCCATCAGCTTTGGCTATGTAAGACAGTGGTTCCAACCCTTGTCCTAGAGAAAAAAAGTGTGTCTTGATTTTTGTTTAAGCCACGTTCTTAATCACAGGATAACTGATTTCAGTTTTATATTGTGGCATGTCTGAATTTGCGTCCAGCTCTTAAAAGGATAAAAGGGATTTGCAGTTGGTATCAATCCTGTACAAAACTCCTGAATTTCAGAACTGCTCTTTTTCATGTGTTCGAGTGTGTTGCATGAAATGTAGCCAATTGGATACAGAAGGGAAAATAAATGCTTGTTGTGGGAGTGTAATACAGTGCAGTCACCTGTGTCTGTTCATCATAAATGTATCAATTAGTAAGAACACTTAAGTCAGAAATAACAACAAGCAAGTTGAAGATAGTAGGCTGTCTTATGATCTGTATACTGTTGTTGGAAATAATACCTACTGTGTGATGTAAAGTTTTTTTAATCAGGACTGACCAGAGAAACTAGTTAAATAATAGTCTAAATAAGCAAGAAGTAAGTAAAGTAAGACATGAATTGGCACTGGAGATATAGAATTCATCTGGAAAAACGGTACACAGTGTTTTATCAAAGTCTAGGTTTGGGAACTATTTGCTTAGGGGTAAAGTACATCCCTCTTGGACTGATGGAATACCTAGAATTGCTGTCCATTTCTTGTTTGGATTTTTTAGTTATGGAGGTAATGTTGTTTTGGGTGAGAGTTAAAATGTATCTAATATTTGTATTAATTCTGTATGTGCTTTGCTAATAAGGCACAATAAACATTATTTTTTTATTTAGAAAGAGGAATAAATAGATTAAAATAAATTGCACCTTCAAAAAATAAAATTTTAATATTTCACTTTGTAGAAATATATATTTAACAGATTCACAGGAATAATTAAAGATTCATTACTGTACCTGTCAATATGTTATAAGGAAGCTTGGTTTATTTTTTAACATTGGATTTTCACTATAATTATCTAGCTTCTGCATTTATTTTTTCCCTGTGTGACTGTTTCTGGACATACTGTATGTTCTATGTATCCATACTGGGAATACATACTGGATACTCCCATACTGGGAAATGTTGACATTGAAAAACAAATTAAAGAAGAAGAAAACTTTGAACATGTTTTAGTGTACTCCAAATTAATTCATAGTTCCTATTCTTTGCTGAACTGAAGATGAAGGAACAGTCTAAGTATTAATTGAAAAAAAAATCTTTCAGAAAGTGTGCTGCATTAATATGTTAATTTCTGAATTATTAAATGTAATGGATTTCACCCAGGGCTTTGTTTACACTCAGAAATCTCAACAGTAAGAAACAGAATTAGCAGTGATTGCACTGGTAAAGTTTGAAGTGGACTTTGTTTATGAATTTTAATCACAATGTGCAAGTTTACGATGTATAATTAAACTGGTAAAAAAGGATTCAATTTTTTTTCATACTAAGATTGCTTAAAGAAGGCAGGGATTTGGGATTTGAGGCAAACCATTCCACATTGCTTTTCGCAGAGCTTTTTGGGGTTTACTTTGAAGTGTCAGTTTAAGGCAAAGGGTCATCGTTTTTACCTAGTGGACATTACAAGATCAAAGCTGGGTCATGTCAATGGTCAACAGCCAACTGTAACAATGATTGTGCACATCTGGCAGTGTACAACTGAGGTCTCTTTGGGATGAGTTTGCCACGGCTATCTCTGCTTTTGGCAAGATAGCAAACTTCCTGAGTACCTGCGTGCTCATAGTAATGTTAGTGAGAGAAATTCCACTCCTCCAAAAGGTACTAATTCTCCCCTGAGGCCTTCTGGAGCTGACCGTACATCAAAGTGTGAAGGAAAGTACTAAACGTCTGCTCATTCTCATTCTTCCTATGCAGTACAGGTGTCACTGCATTGAGCAGACATATAAGGAAACAATAGATGTTTCCTTATATGTCCCCAAATTAGGGGGAAATGAAATGAAAAATACTGAAAAAATAAATCTCTTTTGAATTACAGTGATTCAAAGATCAATTTTTAATGAAAATACTGTACCTGTGCCCCATTTACTGCAAGGAACAATTCAAAGATTGATTTCAGAAGGAGAAGCTCATGCTACAGTATGTAGAAGTAATATCTGAAAAGGCTTGAGTTATGCTTTTCATACCGTATGTTTCAGTTGCTCCTGGTTGCTAACATGAATTGAGAAATGATTTGCATTTCCTTTAACATTTAAGCATTATGGAATTGGAATTGCACTGGTTGTGAATTACAAATAGTTTAGGACATACAGTATAGAACTCCTGTCTCAGTGGTTCTGAAATGCCTGCAAATGTGAAGATAGCTGTTTGATCTACAGTACACAGCCCCCACTCCCCTTCTTTCCACAGCAGATACAGTATATAGCAAAGGCCAGGTACTAGGTACTAGTATCTTGGACTGAGTTCAATGCTACAGGATTAAATTTCTCAGCTGTATCTGCTTGTTAGGCTGTCAGCTGAAGGTTGTTGTTAGACTATGATAGCAGAGAGCATGCAATTTTCTTCAGTTTCTTCTTCTGAGCTGTATGATCCACACAAGATGCTATGAACTTTCCATGTTCAGCAAATGTAGACTAGAGGGCGTGTGTGTGTGTGTGGTGGTAGTGGTATGGGATAT